AATAATAATAATAATAATAATTTTATTATTTATACCCGGCCCATCTGTCTGGGTTGCCCCAGCTACTCTGGCAGCTTCCAACCAACAATTGCACCCGATTAAAACGTAGCTACGATTTGACCCAGACTTAACATTGCAATGTTCGCAACCTAAAAAAGCAATTTGGCTGCGTAGCCTTGGCCACGGACCAGCCAGGCTGCTCTGCTGGGGGAATAAAAAACTGAGTCACCTGCTGTGTAACAACTCTCCCTAAGTTCCCCCACTCCTCCGCTCCCCTGCAGGACCCTGGCCAAAATCGGCTCCTTTGGGGGGGTCTCCTTTGATGTGCACGAAGGGTGGAAAGTGACTAACACCCCCAGCAAACTAATTCAAAACTATGCCCGTTTCATGCCAAGAAATAAGATCTCTCTCGCCTTATGCCCAGAAGAGTCCTGGGACCTAATCATAGATGGGGGTCACTGTCTGGGGTGACTGTTCCCCCGCGCGGCCCGTTTAACCGCCAAAGCCTGCGCTGCGATTGGATCCAGATGTTGAGCAATATGCGCAGGAGAAGACCGCTCTTCTGATTTGCTAGGCTTCCCCCCTTTCTCCCCTCTGAAGAATAAAAATAAATGTGCGTCGGATTATAAGTTTCAAAGTCTGGATGTGTCTGGGTCTTAGGTACAGGCTCGCGTGGGTCCTTGTAGCAGCGCCGGGATGACTCACTGCAGAAAACAAAATAATAACCTGAAAGAGCCGCAAACATATTATTCCGTGCCGTGGGTGTAAACTTAGACAAGTGCAAATTCCGCGTCCAGGCGGGAGAAAACCCTCTGTTGCAAAAGAATGAAAGAAAAAGGTTTCTTGCCCTCCGTGGAAACTGAGCAAGAAAGGGGAGCAGGAAGTTGTAGCAGAGCTTACCAACGCCCAGAGCATTTAGTAATAAGCAAAGGTAGGCTTAGGGGATCAATCTGCCTCTGTCTGGGGCAGCCCTATGGCCAGCCTTCCTTGTTAGGTAAAGGTAAAGGGACCCCTGACTGTTAGGTCCAGTCACAGACGACTCTGGGGTTGCGGTACTCATCTCACTTTACTGGCCAAGGGAGCCAGCGTACAGCTTCTGGGTCATGTGGCCGGCATGAGTAAGCCGCTTCTGGTGAACCAGAGCAGCGCATGGAAATAATAATAATAATAATAATAATAATAATAATAATTTATTATTTATACCCCACCCATCTGGCTGTGTTTCCCCAGCCACTCTGGGCTGCTTCCAACAGAACACTAAAATACAATAACCTATCAAACATTAAAAGCTTCCCTAAACAGGGCTGCCTTCAGATGTCTTCTAAAAGTTTGGTATTTATTTTTCTCTTTGACATCTGGTGGGAGGGCGTTCCACAGGGCGGGTGCCACCACCGAGAAGGCCCTCTGCCTGGTTCCCTGTAACTTGGCTTCTCACAGTGAGGGAACTGCCAGAAGGCCCTCGGTGCTGGACCTCAGTGTCCGGGCAGAACGATGGAGGTGGAGACGCTCCTTTGAGGCCGTTTAGGGCTTTAAAGGTCAGCACCAACACCTTGAATTGTGGTCAGAAACATACTGGGAGCCAGTGTAGGTCTTTCAAGACCGGTGTTATATGGTGTTAGCGGCTGCTCCCAGTCACCAGTCTAGCTGTTGCCGTTTACCTTCCTGCCGGAGCGGTACCTATTTATCTACTTGCACTTTGACGGGCTTTCGAACTGCTAGGTGGGCAGGAGCTGGGACCGAGCAACGGGAGCTCAGCCCATCGCGGGGATTCGAACCGCTGACCTTCTGATCGGCAAGCCCTAGGCTCTGTGGTTTTTAGACCACAGCGCCACCCGCTGCCATATTTCTTAAGGTAGGCCTTTGTGGAGGTACCTGTCTGGCTGACCCTCTGAATTTTCCCCAAGCCACAGTCATGGGCCAGTTGAACACAGAGGGATGGTGGGAGGACTCCCAAAGGATGAAGCTGAGGGACCCCCAAAGGATGAAGGCTCAGAGCCCGGGGATTGGTGGTGGGTTGACAATGAGCGGTCAGAGCAGAGCTTTCCAAACTTTTCATGTTGGCATCATGCTTACATGCATCATTTCACGACACAGTAATTCAGCTTTACTAGCAAACCGAAGGTTAAACTAACCCCTTTCCAACCCCCTGGAGGAGTGTGGGGAGCGTTCGCACGACGCACCTACACACTGCAGCTGACACTCTAATGTGTCGCCACACACAGTTTAGAAAGCACTGGGTTAGAGGGAGAAGAGGGAGAAGACTGGGAAGAGGAGGTGTCGGAAGCTGGAGCGGTAACAGGGCTTAGTGAGCAGGGAGAGTCTGTGGCAGAGAGCAGTCCAGAATCAGCGGCAGAAGCTGAATCAGGAGAGGAGGGATGCCAAGACGCAGAGAAGAGTCAGGGGTGTCTCCCTCTCTTGCTGCGACAATCTCCCCTCCCCTCTGGTCTCCCAGAACCAGAGGAGGGATGAAAAGGGCGGAGGAGAGATCGGCTGCATGCAGGCGCAGTCTCTGATTGCTTGGGGGAAACCCTGGAGAGAAGTGCACTTAGGCAGTTGTGGGAAGCAGGAACCTTCAGTGTCGGCAACTGCTTCATGGGGGCAAGTCCTGCAGAGACGAGTTGCTCTGCTCAGTAAGCCTGACACTCCCGTGCAGATCCATTTTTGGCTAAGAAAGAGTTAGCCCCCACTTGTTCAGTGTGATTTACTGCTGGCTCACTCCTGTCAGCCGCACGCCAGACACCATCCCTCACTAGCCCTTCTTTGCACTCTTGAGGGTTTTTGCCTGGCTGGGATTTGCCCTCAAACTCTGACCATGCCTTTGGGTTTGAGGATAGAGAGGGGCGCAGGAGTGTACAGAATTCGCAGCGGCTGCTCCGCCCACTTTTTCCTCTGGCCCCTCCCACCAGTGGCATGCGGCCCTCAGAAAGTTGTTCAGGAGGGAATTCGGCCCTTGGTCTGTTTTAACAACAGTGTGGTGTGCAGGAATCTCACACACACACCACATTTTTGTTGGCATGAGTATCGCTCACCAGAAGCCTGACCTTTAAAGACACAGGGCAAGAAGGTGGCGACAGGAACTGGCGAACTTTACATGGGGAGATAGGTAAATAAATACGCTTAATTCAAATACCGGAATGTGCTTTTCTTAGCACAGCTTTCCAGTTGCCCCGGGGAGGAATGTGGGTTTTATTAATTTTAACAATTGAGCATTCACCACGCTAAGATTAATGGTCCAGGGATATGTCAACAGAATACACAGGTAAATTCCCAGGAAATGTGGAAATTTGAGTCATCTGCTTGGATAGGTATCGGGAGTGAAATCCAAAGCTGAGAGTGCTGGTAAGTACCAGGGGAACTACATGCCTCACAGCTGCACAGGTAAACACCAGGAGAAGAATCCTTTTACAAAAGCATATGTGGAATTTCTGGGTAATTAGATGCCCGATTACACATGGCTAAAAATGGTCTCGTAGCAAATCTTAGGTGTTAAATGATAGGGATATGTTTGTTCCTCTCTGGCAGGAGGAAAGCATGGGATTTTTTCCAGAGGTGATACAAGACTTTAAAACAAACAGGTTAAAAAAAGAGATTGGGGATATTTAAGCTGGTAGATTTTTCGTCCGCAGGTGATCTGGAAATTTTTAATGTTTACCTTTCGTTGTTTAAGGTGGTTATGATGACCCGGGCCCTGAGTCTATGCAGTGGTACCTCGGGTTAAGTACTTAATTCGTTCCGGAGGTCCGTTCTTAACCTGAAACTGTTCTTAACCTGAAGCACCACTTTAGCTCATGGGGCCTCCTGCTGCCGCCACACCACCGGAGCACGATTTCTGTTCTTATCCTGAAGCACTATTTCTGGGTTAGCGAAGTCTGTAACCTGAAGCCTATGTAACCTGAAACGTATGTAACCCGAGGTACCACTGTACTTCCAAGGCTGTATTGGTTTTACTGCAGTATAACTATAATGGCTTCCCCCCAAAATCCCAGGAAATATAATTTGGTGAGAGTGATTATATGAGCCAAGCACCCTATGGAAGCGATAGTCAAACCAAGGACGGAGAGTCCCCAAACTCCTGAGGGGGTCCACTCCACTGCCGAATGGCTCTTGCTGTCAGAAAATAGGCCAGCACTGATGCTCTCTTCAAATTGCATCTTTTGGGAGTCTCTCTCCCACCCCTTTCTCTCCTCAAAGTGCTTTAATGGGCTGTGGTTACTCAGCGGTGAGGGACGTAAACATAATTAACTTGAGGAATTCATAGCAACAGGGGTATAGCAATGGCCATGAACTCAGGCGCCTTTTTAAAAAACGGGCCGGATAGATGAATGGAGGCTCGCTCGTTACCTAAGGAGAACCTCCACGTTCAAGGGCAGTCTATCTCTCATAGTAGTAGACGCCAGGGACAAATGACAGGGGGTCGTTTTTAATGCCTGGCTTGCACAAGAGGCGTGTGGCTCGCCGTTTAAGGGGAGAGAAATCTAGCTGGATGGGCTTTGCACCAGGGGTTTCTGGGGCCCACGTTGGAGCCAGCTCTCCTCCTGGTCAGCCTGCTGCTGGCTCAGAAAGATGTTCTCTTCTGTGGTGAGGACAGCTGCGGATTTTGGGCTGAGGGCTGCTCACTCTCTCCTCAGGAAATGACACATCTTTGTAAGCATTTCCCACACCGGGGCTGGGTGGACCTCTCGTTCTCCCATGCATGCCCACCGGCCTGAGGGATTCCCCCCTCCAACATCTGGCAGGCACCCCAAAGGCTGTTGCCAGCAGCAGCAGACTACACTATACAGATCTTTGAGGGCTGTAGGGCCTAGTGGTTAGAGTGGAGACAAAGAAGAGGCGAAAGCGGCTTTCCCCAAACACGTGGGGGGGGTACCAGGTTGGCAAAAACTGCTCTAGATGCTGGGACTCACAAATCCGATCTGAGATTCAGGTAGGTAGCCGTGTTGGTCTCACGCAGTAGAAACTATATATATATATATATATATATATATATATATATATATATATGTCCAATAGCACCTTAGAAACCAACTAAGTTTGTTGTTGGTACAAACTTAGTTGGTCTCTAAGGTGCTACTGGACAATTTTTTTATTTTATATTTATATTTCTAGAATCCCATCTGAGATTTTGACATACAGTGGTACCTCGGGTTACATACGCTTCAGGTTACAGACTCCGCTAACCCAGAAATAGTACCTCTGGTTAAGAACTTTGCTTCAGGATGAGAACAGAAATCGTGCTGCGGCGGCACGGCAGCAGCAGCAAGAGGCCCCATTAGCTAAAGTGTTGCTTCAGGTTAAGAACAGTTTCAGGTTAAGAACGGACCTCCGGAACAAATTAAGTACTTAACCTGAGGTACCACTGTAAAGCCCTGTGACAGCGCTTTAATCTAACCGTGGCTTCCCCAAAATTATTTGGGGAAATGCGGTTTGTTAAGGGTGCTGTGTGAGGGCAAACTACAGTTCCCAGGATTATTTGGGGAGAGGGAAATGCGATTCGAATGTGTGGTTCGCACCCCGCCTGCCTGAGGGGGAGCGAGAAATGATACTTGCACGCATGGCATTGCCAAAATCAAGTAGCGTAGCCCCCAAGGCAGAAATCCCATAAACACCTCTCCCTACCCCATTTCTTCAATGAAAATAGGGACATCCAATTCTATAATCATAATTTTACTATTTACACCCCGCCCATCTGACTGGGTTGCCCCAGACACTTCGGATGGCTTCCAACATATGTAAAAACATACTAAAACATTAAATATATTTTTTAAAAAAACTTCCCTATACAGGGCTGCCTTCAGACAGCTCGGGAGTCAAATAACTCCACGCTCTCCAATATTTCTCTGATGAAAATAGGGACGTCCTAAGAAAAAGCAGGACATTCTGGGATCAAATCAGAAACCGGAACGGCTTCTGTGAATCCAGGGCTGTCCCTGGAAAACAGGGACATTTTCAGGCTCTGAATGCAAGCTCTCAAGAGCGTTCAGATCTTAAACTAACAATTTGCAGCCCTTTAGTGATGCCCCAAATTATCTCCCTTCCCTTTGCCTAATGGTAGGGTCACTCCCGGCGCTGACAGGCCCTACGGGATGGTGTGTTGCGGCTTGTAACATACGACACCCTCTTTTTCTGCCTCTCCTCCGGGTGTGTGTGTACACGTGTGAGAGTGAGTGTGCTTAGTGTCTGTTTTTGCTGACCCATCCAGAAGGCATTTCCTGCTCTCGCCAGCAACGAGGGGGTGAAAGTTGGAGAAGTTCATAGCCGCCTGGAAACCACAATTCAACTTTCCCAGGCTGAGGAGAGGCCTAGCTGAGGATGATGCACAAGGGATAGGGCTAGCTGGTGGAAGCCTCTGTCATGCACAACGGCTGGGATATCGACAAAGCCCCCCTCCATCTGGCCTGGCTACTCCAAGCAGAGAGCAAGGAAGGCCTCCGGAGGCATTGCAAGGGGCTAGACCTCAGCGAGGTCTGCACCAGGCTAGGCCTGGGTTCACATCCCTTGCTCAGCCACTAGACTCATCCACTCACCATTTCTTCACCTAATTGACTGCACAGGGGGGTTAAAGGAGGAGGCAGGAATCGTAGAATTGGTAAGGGGTTCCCGAGGGTCATCTAGTCCAACCCCCTGCGGTGCCCGATATGGGGCTCGAACCCACGACCTTGAGATTAAGGGTCTTGTACTCTGCCAACTGGGCTACTCACTGGGATGTGTGCTGCTCTCCTCTAAGGTGCTACTGGACAATTTTTTTTTTTTTACTTTTTATATATATTTCTAGAATCCCATCTGAGATTTTGACATAAAACCCTGTGATAGTGCTTTAATCTAACTGTGGCTTCCCCAAAAGAATTTTGGGAAATGCAGTTTGTTAAGGGTGCTGTGTGAGGGCAAACTACAGTTCCCAGGATTATTTGGGGGAGGGAAATGCGCTTTGAATGTATGGTTTGCACCCAGCCTGCCTGAGGTGGAGCAACAAATGATACTTGCATGCAGGAAGGGCAGAATTGTGTGGTGGTTTTTTTTAATGTAATAAAATAGCATCAGGGGGCAAAACATGCACCACAATTTTGTTTATGCCGCTCCCTGTCCAAGGAGATAGATGGTACAGGAGATAGATAGTACAAATGCACTAGCTCCTCCCTGTCTCCCAGAGATAAGAAAAGGCTGAGCAGATTATTTTTTCTCCAATTTTTGTCCTCACAACAACTTTGTGAGGTAGGTTGAGGCTGAAAGATGGTGACTGACTCCAGGGCCACCCAGAGCTTTCAGGGAGGTTCAGAAAAGGGCGACTCAAATGGTCAAGGGGGTGGAGGAGCTATGAGGAAAGCCCGTAAGCATTTGGGGATTTTTTTAATCGAGAGCAAAAGTGAGTAAGCGGCGCCATGATAGAACTTTAAAAATTACGCATGCTGTGAAGAAAAGGGAGAGAGAAGCATGTTTCTCCCTACCGAATCAGGAACATCCAAGAAAGTCGAACGGGGGAAGGTCCGGGACAGATAAAAGAAAATATCTCTTCACATAGCGCCTAGTTAACCTGTGGAACTTGCTGCCACATGAGGCAGGGACGGCCACTGACTGAGACGGCTTTAAAAGAGGACTGCACCATTCTTAACGTTTCTAGATTAAAATAAAAATAAATGTTTTTATTGTACTCGTGGCAGTCTTGTCTACCTGCTTTGTTATTTGCTCCCCTGGGGCTCCTTTGGAAAGAAGGGCAGCATAGGAATCTAAGAATCGAAATGAAATCATACTGATCCTGCTGTGGGAGAAGAAACAGGATGTTTTGGAAATGGCCGTGGGGCCACCCCGTCAAGGCCCTTCTCCCTTCCACGGCCTTTATGCCAGGCGTGGGGAAATTGTGGCCCCACAGGTGTTCCTAGAATCACAGAATTGTAGTTTTAGAAGGGGCCACAAGGGCCTTCTCGTCCAACGCTCTCTGCAAGGCAGACATCTTTCTCCCAACGTGGGGCTCGAATCCACGACCCTGAGATTAAGGGGTCTCATGCTGTACCGGCTGAGCTAGCTGCATGTTGCTGAACTACATTACCCATCATCCCCAGCCATTGGCTGTGCTTGCTGGGGCTGATGGGAGTTGTAGTTCAGCAACATCTGGAGGCCCCAAAGATTCCTCTCTCCTGTTTTTTTGCCTAGCAGTGAATGGTGAACTGGAGGTGGCCGAAATTGCCACCCAAATAAATCCATGCACTTGTCCCCACATGACATGACAACACTACCGAGAGACTTGCCTAGGGCTGAGTCCAGCACATCCCTTTTCTTTGACTTCTGCCAAAAGCGTCTCCAGAGACTGTCAGTATTTTGCAGGAGGGATTTCGGCACATACTGGGGGGAATTAGGGCCTGCACAATTAAAGTGGCTTTTGGCGTTCTCTTGCACAATTAAACTGGATTACAACACTCTGTTGCCCTAGCGCAACCAATCCACTGTTAAACAAAAGACAGACTTTCTGTGGTTAGGAAAGTGATGCGGGAAAGAGTGGAATGAACCAATTATTTATAAGGCAACATGCAACGTAAGCAAACCAGGACAAACGCTCATTGTCCTATAAAGTCCTCTCAAATCAGAGTGAGCACTCATTAACAACCAAATATAATCTAACCTCCATGTAAGAGTTAGCGCAAACAGATCAGGAAGAATGCTAAACAAAGAGGTTGTAACTCTGGAGAGCCCCCGGAAACTCTTTTGAAGATGAGAGATTTGGGTCCAGAGACCCCCATCTGCAAAATGCATTTAAAGCAGCATCGTACCACTTCGAATGGCACGCGGGTGGCGCTGTGGGTTAAACCACAGAGCCTAGGACTTGCCGATCAGAAGGTTGGCGGTTCGAATCCCCACGACGGGGTGAGCTCCCGTTGCTCGGTCCCTGCTCCTGCCAACCTAGCAGTTCGAAAGCACCTCAAAGTGCAAGTAGATAAATAGGTACCGCTTTGGCGGGAAGGTAAACGGCGTTTCCGTGCGCTGCTCTGGTTTGCCAGAAGCGGCTTAGTCATGCTGGACACATGACCTGGAAGCTGTACGCCGGCTCCCTCAGCCAGTAAAGCGAGATGAGCACCGCAACCCCAGAGTCGGTCACGACTGGACCTAATGGTCAGGGGTCCCTTTACCTTTACCACTTCGAACAGTCATGGCTTCCCCCAAGGAATCCTGGGAAGTGTAGTTTCTTAAGTGCAATGAGAGTTATGGGGGGGGGGCCTGAATCCCCTTTACAGAGCTATGATTTGGAGGGCTCCCTGGGAAGTGGGGCAGATTGTTAAAACCGCTCTGAGAGTTGTAGCTTTGGGTGGGGAGCAAAGGGCCTGTTGAAAATTCTCAGCACCCTTAACAAACTACGCTTCCCAGGATTCTCTGGGAGAAACCACAGCTGTTCATAACTGGTACAGTGGTACCTCCGGTTAAGTACTTAATTCGTTCCAGAGGTCCGTTCTTAACCTGAAACTGTTCTTAACCTGAAGCACCACTTTAGCTAATGGGGCCTCCTGCTGCCACTGCGCCACCGGAGCAAAATTTCTGTTCTCATCCTGAAGCAAAGTTCCTAACCCGAGGTACTATTTCTGGGTTAGCAGAGTCTGTAACCTGAAGCGTATGTAACCCGAGGTACCACTGTATTACGCTGCTTTAAATCTGTAGTGCGGATGGGGCCCGAGCAGATCTCCCCCTTTAGCCCTGCGCTGGTGAGGCGCCTGCGTGAACGGCCTCCCGTTTCTCACGAGGCCCGTCTCTCGAACATGCACGAGCTCCGGGGGAGCACGACTCCTCGGGAGTCACGCTCCTGAGGCGTCACCACCCAAGAAGTTAGAGAGCCGGGTCAGGGAACGGGTTCCTGGCTGCTCTCCACGGAGCTGTCAAGGGCAAAACAGAAGGGGGGTAAGCTAGATTCCAGGCCTGGCCACAGACTCCTATGATGCAAGCCCAGCTCAGGCCTGGGAGGGCCAGGCTCACTTGGTGGGGGCCCACCGGGAGAGATGGAGGGAAGCTGTTAACTAACGCACCCGAAGGCAGTGAGGTCACCGGGAAGAAATGTGGTTTCACACACACACACAATAACGTTGCTGAGGGGGAGCAAGGCTGTATATGGAATCAGACGGAAGACCAACAGGGCAGTACAGGTTCCAGGACTCCTGGGTTCCCTGGGAGGGCATCGTGGGACAGTGGTTGAGAGGAGGGAAGAGGATGGTTGGGTCTTTTGCCCCACTGCAAAAGGAACCCCTGCCGCCCCACATTCTGGGACCATCCGCCGTTGACCGTTTGTACGCCATGGGTGCGAGAGGGAACGTTTTGTTTTTGTCGGGCCGCTTTCCCCAGGAAAACTTGCTGTTTACTGCTGAATTATACTCGGAGTCAAGTGTGGATTTCATGCTCTTTATTCAGCTCATAGTAGCGAGGAATGGAAGTTCCCCCAAAATGCCTGCTTTATATACATTATTTACACAATGGGCCCCACGTGATTGGCTAATTCCGGGATTCTCCTGTCGGCCAATCAGGTTGCGGATTCACTTCCACCTGGAGCTGGATTGGGTGGCTCCTGAGGACCAATCAGACTGCTGCATTCTGGAGCCTATTGTTCTAGGACCAATCAGACTGCTGCATTCTGAATCCTATTGTTCTAGGGCCAATCAAACTGCTGCAATTTGGATCCTATTCAACTCAGTACGTAACAACTGCTGAATCGGGGCGAGCGTCCCACAGAGCTGTGGGACAAAACACGACGTCTCAGACCCTTGACTAGAAATTAAGGGGCAAAGGAAAAGTGAGGATGTGGCCTCTGTTTCAGTCGCAGTGCTAGATGTGCAGGTTTGGTTGGAGCAGGGATGGGAAGCAGATTTCAGCCTGAGGAAATGGAAGTAGGGTTCTACATGTAGACCGGGCACACACACCAACAGACCTCACACACCAGCATAGGGGCCAACTCCCTGGGGCCTTGGGCACCCACAAAATTCCCCATTAAGGGGCTTGGCACCCACAGATTTCAGTGTCAGGGCCAAGCATAGCACCCATGGCTCCGGGCGAGGAGAGGCCTACCGGTGTCAACTAAATAGGTGCTGCCCAGGCTCAGAAGCAGTTTAACTCTGGGTTTCGGGTGCTGGGATGGGGCAGGATAGCTAGAGAGGGCTGTTGCTTCCATGACTTGCTCCTTAAGGGATTCCTGCGGATGCCCACGGCTATGGGAAACAGGACTCAACGGTGCATTGATCCAGCTGTTGTTGTTTTGTCGTTTAGTCATGTCCAACTCTTCGTGACCCCCTGGACCAGAGCACGCCAGGCACTCCTGTCTTCCACTGCCTCCTGCAGTTTGGTCAAACTCATGCTGGTAGCTTCGAGAACACTATCCAACCATCTCGTCATCTGTCGTCCCCTTCTCCTTGTGCCCTCCATCTTTCCCAACATCTGGGTCTTTTCCAGGGAATCTTCTCTTCTCATGAGGTGGCCAAAGTATTGGAGCCTCAGCTTCAGGATCTGTCCTTCCAGTGAGCACTCAGGGCTGATTTCCTTAAGAATGGAGAGGTTTGATCTTCTTGCAGTCCATGGGACTCTCAAGAGTCTCCTCCAGCACCATAATTCAAAAGCATCAATTCTTCTGCGATCAGCCTTCTTTGTGGTCCAGCTCTCACTTCCGTACATCACTACTGGGAAAACTATAGCTTTAACTATACGAACCTTTGTTGGCAAGGTGATGTCTCTGCTTTTGATCCA